GAGACTATAAAAACCAGCTCCCAGAGGAGAAGAGCGCAGTCTCCTGCCCCCGCGCCTGGGTATTCCTCGCCGGGGCCCCTTGGAGGGGAGCGGGTTGAGCTTTCCTCCCCACCCTGGCCAGGGCCCCGGCAGCCGAAGACCTCCAGGACCAGCCACCACCATGCTGAGACCACTCTCTGCACACTGAGACTATAAAAACCAGCTCCCGGAACCGCGCGGCCGCAAATGCGGCCGCGCAACATCTTATTATGACATCTCATTCCTACTTTTACAAACTGGCAGGCTACCGAATGTAGCCTGCCCACACGGCAGAGTCTGGCAAACTCCCCGTGGCGCACCCAATATGCCAAATACCAGTAACAATGATGGGTCTCATTCTCCTAAAGAGCCTTGAATATAACCTCAGGGCCAGGATGAAGGAGACGTTACTGGGGCCTGCTCGAGGCAATCAACGAATAACAGGATGATCTGTGATCTGTGATCTGAAATGTTTATGCACCAAACAACAGATAATCAAAATATGTAAAGCACCTACTAACAGGCCTGAAGAAAGACAGCACCAGAAACATAATAAAAGTAGAAGATTTTAACATACTACTCTCACCACCGGATAGATCGAGCACACAAAACACCAATTAAAGAAGGAAGTGGAAGAACTGAATTTACCTCAATATAGTAAAAGTCATATATCACAAAGTTATAGTTAACATCATCATACTCCGTGGGAAATAAATGAGAGCCTTTCCTATAAGATCACGCTCAAGTTGAGGAAGCCAATTTTCATCATTATTTTTCAATATAGAATTGGGCTTACCATAACACTTAGGAAAGAAAGAAAATGCAGAGATTCAAATAGGTAAAGAAGAAATCAAACTAGTGCTATGTGCAGATGACATAGAAAACCCTAAAGACTCCGCAAAAAAGTCTTTAAGAAACAATAAACTTGTATAGCAAAATGACAGACTATACTACAAAATAACTGTAGCACTGCACTGTCTTCCCATTGTTCATCTATTTGCTTGAGTGGGCCCAGTAACATTGTGAGACTTGTTGTTACTCTGTTTGGCATATCGAACACCTGACGGGGAATTTGCCAGGCTTTGCTGTGCTAGGCTTTGCTGTGCAGGCGGAGTACCCTCAGTAGCTTGCTGGGCTCTCCCAGAGGAGTGGAGGAATCGAACTCAGGTCAGCCAGATTGGCCACTGTGCTATCACTCCAGCCCACTACAAAATCAGTATTCGAAATCCATTGCATTTTTATATGCAAACAATGAGGTAGAAGAAAAAGAAATTTTTGTTTTGATCCTGTTTCAGTTGTGTTTATTTTGAAATATATATTTTGAATTGAATCACCTGAAATACAGTTACAAAGTTGTTCACTATTGGATTTCAGTAATGCAATGTTTCAACACCTCTCCCTTCACCAGTGCACATTTCCTTGAATAATATTAAAATATACAAGTAGGTGAAAAGTTTGGACAAAGATGAAGCAGAAAGAAAGAAAAGCAAGTATAACCTGTTTACAATGTTGCTTTGTGTCTCTATGCAGAGAGGAAAGTCACTTCCTCCAGGTTTTTACTGAGAATTAGTATATTTTTTTTGAAAATAGATATGTCAAATTATTCAATTTTCCTCTAAACTGTCCCAGGGGCTCAAATTACCAATCATGCCTCCACCTTATTAAGTAATTTTTCCCTTTCACTCTGTGTAAAAAAAAAATTCAGTTCTTCCCTGTCATATAGATAGATATGATAGAAAGCTCATATGAGGGAAAAGGGACAATGGACAGTGGTGGAAGGTTACTCCCTAATGATTAAGGGTGGTGAAGTAGCATTTAAATCACTTAATCACTTAATAACTTCCCATTAGTCATCGATTTGCTCAAGCGGGCGCCAGTAACGTCTCCATTCGTCCCTGTCGCCTGCTAGTGTAGCCCAATGGCATCTGTTCGTTTTGGGAACATGAAGAGCCTCAAACCGATCGTTCATGATCTTGACGAAGAAGTCTGACCATCTGGTAGGTGGGCGGCCACGCGGTCTTTTGACATCCCGTGGAATCCAGTTGGTAACAGCTCTAGTCCAGCGGTCGTCTTTAAATCTCATTACGTGACCAGCCCATCTGATTTTTGACACCTTGGCAAATGAGACAGCGTCCCTGATCCTTGATCATCGACGGATGTTGGAACTCTGGATTCTTTCTCTCATTTGAGTGAAACGTGATATTCCAAGCATAGCTTTTTCTACTCTTCTTTGGGAGACCCGAATAGCATTCTCATCCTGTTTACGTAGGGCCCAGGTCTCTGAGGCATATGTTAATGCAGGAAGAACAGTGGAATCAAAGAGATGTGCCCGGAGCCGGAGGTTCTTCGTCCTCTTAGCTATTTCTTCGACATTCTTGAAGGCGTTCCAAGCCGCTCTCTTCCTCCTGCGCAGCTCGGGTGCCAGGTCATTTTTCATGTTGACTTCTCGACCTAGGTACACATAGCTGTTGCATTCGGAGATGGTTGTTCCGTTGAGAGCGAATGGGGCGTCAGGAACGAGGCTGTTTCTCATAAACATTGTCTTCATAAGACTCAGCTGTAGTCCTCCTACCTTTCCACACTCACAGTCAAAGTCGGCCAGCATTTGTGCCGCTTGGCTGATGTTTGGTGTTATTAAAACAATGTCATCAGCAAAGCGGAGGTGGTGTAGTTGCCGACCATCTATCTTCACACCCATTCCTTCCCATTCCAGTCGTCGCATGATGTTCTCGAGGGTGGCACTGAAGAGTTTCGGTGAAATGGTATCACCCTGCCGCACCCCTCTCTTGACATCAATGATCACTTCTTTGTAGAATGGTGAGATCTTGGTAGTGAATCCGCAATACAGCTCACGTAGGATCTTGATGTATTGGGCTTGAATGCCCTGATTGGCTAGGGCTTCAATGACCGCTTCCGTCTCAACAGAATCAAAGGCCTTCTTTAAGTCAATGAACGTTAAACAGAGAGGCATCTTGAACTCCCGAGAAACCTCAATGAGCTTGGTTATCGTGTGGATATGGTCGATGGTTCTGAATCCTTTGCGGAACCCGACTTGCTCGCATGGTTGTCCTTCATCTAGTGTTCTGCCAATCCTATTTAGGATGACTCGAGTGAACAACTTGTAGATGACAGACAATAGGCAGATCGGGCGATAGTTGCCAATGTCTTGGATGTCTCCCTTCTTGAACAGTAGTACGGTCCTGCTGGTTATCCATTGGGACGGAACCTTGCATTCAGACAGGTAGCGTGTGAAGAGCCGAGCCAGTGTATTGATGAGTACTGACAGCAGGTTCTTCAGGAGTTCAGGTCTGACTTTGTCTGGGCTGGGTGCTGTTCGTTTCTTTACCGACAAAATGGCGTGTCAGATTTCGGAAGGGAGAACGTTGGGAACGACATATCCATCCTGTGGGATTTGGTATGTCGGCAAGTGGACATGGCTATCGAAGAGATTTGAGTAGAAGTCATGGATAATCTTCTCCATTGCCGTTCTGGAGGATGTGATGGATCCATCAGGACGTCGGAGGGCAGTCATCTTGGTCTTGTAGTTGGCAAAGGACAGACGGGCGTTACGAATACTTTTCCCGGCTTCTGCCGCATCTACCAGCACTTCTGCTCTTCTCTCTTTGAGGTCTTCCTTGACCGCATCTCTGCACTGCTTTGCGAGCTCGGACGTTAACTTACGGTTGCCTGAGGCATGCGCCAAACCACACTGGCGAATAAACTCAAGAGTTTTCGAAAACAGGCGTTTTTTTGTGGCTATCTCTCTCTTGGCGTTCCTCGCACATTCATGGAGGTGCTGTACCAGTCGATCGTATTCTTCATCAATGTTGTCAACAATGGCATCTTCCCATGTTGCCGCAATAGTGCCAAAGAGCTCCCAGTTGGTGGTCGTTCTGGGAGTTCTCTTTTTAAACTTTGCGGCCCTTTCTCCCCGCTGTGTGAAGTAGAATTTTGCACGAAGGAGACGGTGGTCCGGTCCCGTTCGGAATTTTGGGACAACAGCGACATCAGTCAGGCAAAACCATCGATTGAATATGATGTGGTCTGTTTCGTTGTGGAATCGTCCACCGGGAGACTCCCATGTCAACGTTTAGATTCTGCCTTCTGGAACAGTGAGTTACCATGGATGGTCTTGGTCGACATGATGAACTCAGACAGTCTCTCACCCTGTTCGTTCCATTCTAGGCGATGGGTCCCGATGTGAAATTCTTCAGCTGATCTTCTCGGTCCTATCTTGGCATTAAAATTGCCCACAATGATCTTGTAGAAGGTGTGATCTTCTTTATAGAACTTCTCCAGCTCCATGTAGAACTTCTCAATTTCTCTTTCATCATAATGAGATGTTGGTGCGTAGACAACGAAGATAGAAACTGCTGACAGTGAGCCACATCTATTCAAATGTAAACGTCCGATTCGGGTTGTTAGGCATTCGAATGAGTCAATGCTCATGGCCAAGTTTGTGCTGACTAGGACACCGACGCCTCCAACACCTCTTTTATCGCATGTTCTGAGGAACAATTCTTCTCCAGTGTCGAAAACGGCATGGTGAGATTCATTAGTCGGAGCATTTAAGTGTAAAATAATATGGGAACCACTAAAAACCACATTATCTCAATACAAACAGGGTGAAAAAAGATTTCTACTGCTAGAATTTATATTTCAAAACTGAAAAAATATACTTTTTTGTTAGTATATATAGATGTTGATTTATAATAATGAATATATCAAGCTATATAATAATACAACATTCTTTTAATAAAAGTATTTTTAAATTTTAAAGTTATATTACTGGCGTAGTTATTCTTATGTTTATTTTAAAGATGAAAGGTGACTAAAACCCTACTAATTTTAAATTCAAGGTTCTCAGAAAGAAGTTCTAAATTATACCAGTTATGCTAATTTTTGTCTTGTTGACTTGCATATCTAATCATATTTACTTATATAATATTAAATGACTTTTTAAGCAATACACAGTTACTTACCTGCAATGCTTTTAATGTTTCCTTTAGTCCTTCTATTTCTTTTTCTTTTATTTCTGTAGCAAGCTGATATTTTCCCTTTAAATAAAAAAATCTATATTTCAATACTTTCAATGTAAATGATATTATTAATGGGAAAAATATAAGAGCTCAAGAACTAAAATGTCTTACTCTACATCTAAGATTTCACAAGCTTTATACTTGTATTTAAAAGTTTTTATATCTAATGACTTTAAAAATAAAGTTTTATCTAATGACTTCAAAATAGTATTAAATTAGAACGGGTTTTTGTAAAATTGCAAATAGCATGAAATAAAAATCTTGTAACTGCAAGCTACTTTATCAGTAGGGCATTCCTAAAATTTATAAACACTATATAATTAGGTAATTCCTCTGCCCCTCTCGGAGAGCCCGGCAAGCTACTGAGAGTATCTCGCCCGCACGACAGAGCCTGGCAAGCTCCCCGTGACGTATTTGATATGCCAAACACAGTAACAACAAAGTCTCCAATGGAGACAGTTTATATAACTCAAATAAACATATACTAATTAATAAGATACAAGTACAACTGCCTTACATATTATGAAAGAATTTTTGTTTGAATCATTTTTTTGGCTTTTTGGGTCACACCTAACAATGTTTAGGGGTTACTCCTGGCTCTGCACTCAGGAATTATTTCTGGCAGTGCTCAGAGTACCACATGGGATGCTGGAGATCAAACCTGGATTGGTCGTGTCCAAGGCAAATGCACTACTCGCTCCCATTCAAACCAGCAATACCACTTCTGGGAATATACCCTGGGGGCCCAAAAACACACAGTAGAAACATCATCTGCACTTTGATGTTCAATGCAGCAATATTCACAATAACCAAAATCTGGAAATAACTCAAATGCCCAAGAACAGATGACTGGATAAAGAAACTACGATACACCTACACAATGGAATGCTATGCAGTTGTTAGAAAGAATGAAGTCATAAAATTTGCTTATAAATAGATTCACGTGAAGAGTATAATGTTGAATGAAATGAGTCAGAAGGCGAGGGACAACTATAGAACAACTGCATTCATTTGTGATATATATATAAATAACATCACTTAATCACTTAACTTCCCGTTAGTCGTCGATTTGCTCGAGCGGGCGCCAGTAACGTCTCCATTCGTCCCTGTCGCGTGCTAGTGTAGCCCAATGGCATCTGTTCGCTCTGGGAACATGAAGAGCCTCAAACCGATCGTTCATGATCTTGACGAAGAAGTCTGACCATCTGGTAGGTGGGCGGCCACGCAATCTTTTGACATCCCCTAGAATCCAGTCAGTAACAGCTCTAGTCCAGCGGTCGTCTTTAAATCTCATTACGTGACCAGCCCATCTGATTTTTGACACCTTGGCAAACGAGACAGCATCCCTGATTCTTGATCATCGACGGATGTCGGAACTCTGGATTCTTTCTCTCATTTGAGTGAAACGTGATATTCCAAGCATAGCTCTTTCTATTTTTCTTTGGGAGACCTGAATAGCGTTCTCATCCTGTTTGCGTAGGTCCCAGGTCTCTGAGGCATATGTTAATGCAGGAAGAACAGTGGAATCAAAGAGATGTGCCCGGAGCCGGAGGTTCTTCGTCCTCTTAGCTATTTCTTCGACGTTCTTGAAGGCGTTCCAAGCTGCTCTCTTCCTCCTGCGCAGCTCAGGTGCCAGGTCATTTGTCATGTTGACTTCTTGACCTAGGTACACATAGCTGTTGCATTCGGAGATGGTTGTTCCGTTGAGAGCGAATGGGGCGTCAGGAACGAGGCTGTTTCTCATAAACATTGTCTTCGTAAGATTCAGCTGTAGTCCTACTTTCCACACTCACGGTCAAAGTCGGCCAGCATTTGTGCCACTTGGCTGATGTCTGGTGTTATTAAAACAATGTCATCAGCAAAGCGGAGGTGGTGTAATTGCCGACCATCTATCTTCACACCCATTCCTTCCCATTCCAGTCGTCGCATGATGTTCTCGAGGGTGGCACTGAAGAGTTTCGGTGAAATGGTATCACCCTGCAGAACCCCTCTCTTGACATCAACGATCACTTCTTTGTAGAATGGTGAGATCTTGGTAGTGAATCCGCAATACAGCTCACGGAGGATCTTGATGTATTGGGCTTGAATGCCCTGATTGGCTAGGGCTTCAATGACCGCTTCCGTCTCAACAGAATCAAAGGCCTTCTTTAAGTCAATGAACGTTAAACAGAGAGGCATCTTGAACTCCCGAGAAACCTCAATGAGTTTGGTTATTGTGTGGATATGGTCGATGGTGCTGAATCCTTTGTGGAACCCGGCTTGCTCGCATGGTTGTCCTTCATCTAGTGTTCTGCCAATCCTATTTAGGATGACTCGAGTGAACAACTTGTAGATGACAGACAATAGGCAGATCGGGTGATAGTTGCAAATGTCATGAATGTCTCCCTTCTTGAACAGTAGTACGGTCCTGCTGGTTTTCCATTGGGACAGAACCTTGCATTCAGATGACCAATATCCAAAGTGGGGGCAAACAGGGGCCAGGATGGCAGGTCAATGGAACAGGTCAATGCTTGGAAGCTTGCCAGAAGAGTGTGTGTGTGCTGTGTGTGTGTGGCGGGGGGCGGGGGGGGCGGGAGGGATGATAAAGGGCACCCATAAAGGGACATACCTGATAACCTTTCATTATTTGTATTGCAAATCATAAGGCCCAAAAGGAAAGAAGGAGGAGGGAGAGAAGGGGGAGAGAGAGAGAAAGAGAGAGAGAGAGAGAGAGAGAGAGAGAGAGAGAGAGAGAGAGAGAGAGAGAGATGGAAATTGCCTGCAGGACAGGGTTGGGGGCAAGAGGGAAACTGGGACCACTATTGGTGGGAAAAGTATACTGGTGAAGGAACATTATATGACTGAAATCCAACCATTAACAACTTTGTCACTGTCACTGTCCTCCCATTGTTCATCAATTTGCTCGAGCGGACCCAGTAACGTCTCCATTGGAGACTTTGTTGTTACTGTGTTTGGCATATCGAATACATCACAGGTAGCTTGCCAGGCTCTGCCGTGCGGGCGAGATACTCTCGGTAGCTTGCCGGGCTCTCCGAGAGGGGAGGAATCGAACTCGGGTTGGCCATGTTGGCTGTGTGCAAGGCAAACGCCCTACCGCTGTGCTATCGCTCCAGCCCAACTTTGTAAAAGTGTATATCATTGTGATTCAATTTAAAAAATAAAATGGGGGGAGAAAAACACTCAAATTATAAATATTATAAATCTATGTTCATTAACACAATAAAATACATTATTAACTATTGAATAGCTAGAGAAAGTAATGTCTGATGAATTTCAATGAGTTTTAGAACTGTATCTTTTCAGTTGATCTGTAAGCATATCCAAACCATCTTAATGTTTTTTAAAGAAGGTTATTATATTGGAAAAACACTGGGCAGAGATAGTACAGTATGTAAGTTGCTGGCCTTGCACACAGCCAACCAGGTTTTATCCCACACAAGCAGTGATACTTGAGCCCAAAGTCAGAAATAATCCTGAAGCACCACACTGGGTGTGATCCAAAAACCAAAAGACCATTAAGGGCTATAGCCCATGCGTCATGTTCACTGGGCTCCAGGATCAATACCTAGTACCATATGACCTCCCTAGTGCTATGTTTAGCTGACATTACTGAGAAAGACCTACCCTGCCCCCAACAACTTTAAAGAAAAAACACATACACTTGAAGAAAAAATAAGGTACTAGAGTGGGTAAAGCATTTATTTGAGGACTTAAGTGATCTGAGTTCTATTACCAACTTTGCTACTACAAAGGAGAGGCTAGCAAGTCTTTTAATCTTATTAGGTCTCAGCATTTTCAATGAAAATATTACAGGTCAAGTAACATTAGTTCCATGGGTCCTACCTATTTCTAAATTATATGCAATTAACAGTCTATTTGTTATTTCTAATATACTTTTCCAATATGATAAACAATAGATAAGTGAATGCATTTTAGAGTATTTTTATTTTTTTTAAATTTTATTTATCTTTAACATAAATTTTTTAAAAAAATAATATATACCTTTTCTTCTTCCAAGGTGCACATCTTTATTTGCAACTGGTAAAAATTGAAAAAAGTAAACACATTTAAGTGTTAAGTGACTTATACTGATCAGTGAGATGACAGAAACATTCTTCATGTATGTAAAGGCCCTCCCGTTGATCGTCGATTTGCTCGAGCGGGCCCAGTAACGTCTCCATTGGAGACTTTGTTGTTACTGTGTCTAGCATATCGAATACTCTCGGTAGCTTGCCGGGCTCTCCGAGAGGGGCGGAGGAATCGAACTCGGGTCGGCCATGTTGGCCGCTTGTAAGGCAAACGCCCTACCCGCTGTGCTAATGTGAATGCTTTTAAATTAAGAAAATAAAATAATAATATAAAAGGGGAAAAAGTAACCAAAGAAAGTGAATAATTAAATCATTCAAGAGATGAATCATCCTTAAGAAATTTATTTTTCCCTCTAGGTTTTTTTCTTAAACATTTCAATATTTTACCCTCTCAAAAATAACATGTCATTTTCTGAATCATAGGGCTGGAGTGATAGCACAGCGGGTAGGGCGTTCGCCTTACAAGCGGCCAACATGGCCGACCCGAGTTCGATTCCTCCGCCCCTCTCGGAGAGCCCGGCAAGCTACCGAGAGTATTCGATATGCCAGACACAGTAACAACAAAGTCTCCAATGGAGACGTTACTGGGCCCGCTCGAGCAAATCGACGATCAACGGGAGGGCCTTTACCTTTACCTTTACCTTTACCTTTTCTGAATCATATTTTTACAAAAAAAAACTATGTTTACATGGGTAAAATCTAAAATTTTTTAATGTATGTGATTTGGGAAGGCTAATATTGAATATTTTTATGAAAATACAACTTTATTTTATGAAATATGCAACGTATGCTCTGGTATCACTTCACTTGCATCACTTGTCGTTCTGTTGTTCACTGATTTGCTCGAGTGGGTGCCAATAACTCCATTCATCCCTGGCACATTCTTACTCGTCCTTCCCAACGCTGACATACTGGGGGCTCTTTTCAAGGTCAGGGGAATGAGGCCCATTATTGTTAGTGTTTTTGGCATATCGGATACACAACAGGTAGCGTGCCAGGCTCTGCCGTATGAGCAGGATACTCTTGGTGGCTTGCTGGGCTCTCTGAGAGGGCTAGAGTATAAGAGGTCAGAAATACTGCTCCAGGAAATAATGCTTCATTCTCTTCTGGGAGTTTTTATTTTATAGTCTCTGGATCTTGGCCATTGATGAAATTACATGGCGCTGGGGGCAGTTTGTGGGTATGGCTACCAAACTACTGAAAAACAGAGGACCTGGGTGGAGGGAGGAGGCCCAGTCCCAATCTGAGCAGACTTGGAGATCTCAGCCACGGGTCCTGCATACCTGGGTTCCTCTGTTGGTTCCTTCATGGGTGAGACTTGTCTGAGCATGTGGAGAGTGGCCTTGAGCATGGCTGTGGCTGGATTCTGGAGTTTTTCAGCTGCTGGGGCTCTGCTTGAGGCGGGGAGCCAAACCCACAAAGTGCCTCCCTCCCACCCCCTCCCCCACCCCCAGCGTCATGTAATCCCATCAATGGCCAAGATCCAGAAACTATAAAACAAAGCTTCTGAAAGAGAGCAATGCAGTTTTTCCTGAAAAGTCCAGCCTCTTAGAGAGCCCGGCAAGTTACCGATAGTATTCCGCCCACATGGCAGGGCCTGGCAAGCTACCCATGGTATATTCAATATGCCAAAAACAGTAACAATAACAGATCTCATTCCCCCGACCCTGAAAGAGCCTCCACTAAGGCAGCGTTGGGAAAGACAAGTAAGAAGAGGCTGCTAAAATCTCAGGGCTGGGATGGAGACATTACTAGTGCCCGCTTGAGTAAATCAATGAACAATGGGATTACAGTGATACAGTGAATTTTAGGACATAATAGAATCATTTCTTTCTTTGGTGAAAAATAATTCTGAAGACTCTTGAATTACCTTGTACATGGTTTTGTTGTTGTTGTTGTTCTATATTAACTCATTTTTTAATTAAATTATTTATTTATTTTTTTTATTTCGAATACCCATCCCTCCACCATGGTTTTATGTAGGTTTCAGACCTTAGCTTTAAGGCCTGTCTTAGAAACCAGTGTGTCCAGAAAGATTAATTTAAAAATCAAATAAGCATAAGCAGGGTATTTCATTTCCAAAAAAAATGAAAATTTATAATTTCTTACTAAGTTTTCCAGAAATTATACACACTTCAAGAATGATGGGGTTAGAGCAGAGGATTCTAAAATATCTCTCACAGTGTATAGATTACATCTTGATTTATATTTAAATATATAAATTCAATGGGCTGAGCACTGCATGGTTCCCTGAGTACCCACTGGGAGTGATACCCAAACAGAGCCAGGAGAGGACCCTGAATGCCGCTGAGTATGACCCCCAAAAATAAACAAGTCTCTTTCATTGTTTTCTTTAAAAAAAAGAAAGGCTGGATAGTACAGTGGGTAAGGTGTTTGCTTTGCATGAGGCCAATCTGGTTTGCTCCCATATAGTCCTCCAAGCACTGTCAGGAGTAATTCCTGAGTGTTGAGACAGGAGTAACCCCTGAGCATTGTTGAGTGTGACCCAAAAAGAAAACACACACACACATTTTTCTTAGTTGCTGATAGCTAATATTTATATAGGTTATCTCCTATCCTTTACATTTTTCTTTGTCCCAGTTTTTATCAGTGATAAAATTCTGGCTTAGAAATGGGGGTAATGTTAAAAAAAAGATAAGGTACTATGAAATTATATTCTAGCCAAAGAAAAAAACTAAGTTTCCCCAGTGGATGAAGCGATATTAGGGCGTGGGGCACTTGTCTTGCACACAGCTGACTAAGTTTGATGCCTGGCACCCCATGTGGTCCCCAGAGCACTGCCAGGAGTTATCCCTGAGTGAAGAGCTAGAAGTTCAGAGCACTGCTAGCTGTGGTCCAAGAACCAAAAAAAAGTAAAATAAAATTGAAAAGGTTTTCCTAAATATTCTCCTTAATTAAATCATTCTGTATATTATACTCTTTTTTACCAGTTGTGATTCAGACTAACTTTATTAATTTTCATCTTCCAATAATAACTTTTTGGTTTTCAGTAACTCTGGGAAAAAGCTTCTCACAATTTTCATGAAGGGAAAGAAAATGCAATATTTAAAACTACAGTGTTTATCTACCCTTATGGAATTACCTGTTATTTGATAGAAATTACCTGCTTTTTGAAAACTGCCATTGCTTCTTTGTGTTTTTTTGCTAGTGTTTCATTTTGATTCTGAAGTGTTTCCTGTTTAAAAATAATGAGAAGTTACAGCAAATTCTGGCAGTTCTTTATTTTTTATTTTTTATTATTTTTTTATTAGTGAAACACCATGAGGTACAGTTATAGACTTATAAATTTTTGTGCTTGGGTTTCAGTTATACAATGATCAAGTACCCATCCCTCCACCAGTGCCCATCCTCCACCACCACGGGTCCCAGCATCCCCCCCACCCCCCATCCCCCCCATCCCACTCTGCCTCTGTGGCAGGGCATTCCCCCTTGTTCTCTCTCTCTTCTTTTGGGTACTGTGTTTTGCAAGAGAGGCACTGAGTGGCAATCATGTTTGGTCTATAGACTACTTTTAGCATGCTTCTCCCACCCTGGGAGGGTCCTCACAACACCCTTTATTTGGTGCTCTCTTCTCTATCTGAGCTTCCTTTTCACCTAGCACGTGTGGCTGGCCTTCAAGTCATGGAGCAAAATTCCTGGTACTAATCTCAGCCATTACTGGGTGTTAGTCTCCCGTTTTGTTGCTTTATGTTCCCCAGATGAATGCAATCTTTCTGTGTCTATCCCACTCTTTCTGACTCATTTCACTTAACATGATACTTTCCATGTAGTACCACTTGTATGTAAATTTCATAACTTCATCTTTTCTAACAACTACATAGTACTCCATTGTGTAAATGTACCAAAGTTTCTTTAACCAGTCATCTGTTCTCGGGCACTCAGGTTTTTTCCAGCTGGCAGTTTTTAAAATTTAATTAAGTTTATAATTTAAATGAAGTTCAACATATTTACTATATTTATTTGATGTTCTTGAAAGATAACTTTAAACTAATATTGGAGAGGCGAGGTATCAGGGATCAAAACTAGGACCTCATACATAGAAGGTATTATTCTACTACCGAGCTATACCTTGAGACCCTATTAATTTTGTTTAGCTATCCTGGAATCAGTACACAATAATTTTGCTTCCTCTCCTAATTTCTTTTTGTTTTTTTGTTTGATTTTAGTATCCCTGGGTGGGAGTGAACCTAACTTCTTTTTTAAGAAAAAAACATATTGCTTTAATTTTTTGTTTAATTCTGGATATAGCTTGTTCCACAACTTTCTTCAAAGAAATATCTATCAGAAGTTATTAAAATTATTAAAAATATTGGGGGAAATAAAGGGGTGGAAAGAGACAGGTAGATTTAGTTACATACTCAAGAGAGAACACAAGCTTCTCCAGAATCAGGCTAATGCACATCCAAATGGGGAAATGGTAAAAGAAGAAAAAAAATAGTCCTAGGACTTAAGAAACAGTTCAACAGTCTGGAACACAAGTTTTGTATGTGGGAGCACAGATTCAATTCCTAGTTATACTTGGTCCTCCAAGCACCACACGGTATGACTCAAAAATACAAAATTAAAATTTTTAAGTTATTTAGTCCTAGTATGCAATTATATTCTTAGAGCTCACAAGAAAACTCTTTATTCCTGAAGTATATATAAGTCTTTAAATTCACTGAAGTAATTTTTTTGTAAGCACAAAATACAGAGCATCATTGGAGGGGGGGGGGGAATTCATGTTATGTGAGTCCCTTTTTTTTTCTTCATCCCCATCTGCTTTGGGAAGTTATCAATTCTCTTAAGATGCTTTTAAATTTTTTCTTCTAACTTTATTAAGATAAATTTCATACTTTGGGGGCCAGAGAGATAGGATAGTTGGTAGGGTGTCTGCTTTGCACATGGCCAAACCAGGTTCATGCCCCGTCATCTCATATGTGCTCCAAGAGTATGCCAGGAGTAATTCCTGAGAGATCAGAGCCAGAAATAATCCCTGAGCATTGCCAGTTGTGGTCCCAAAATAAAACAAAACAAATATTTCTCATACTTTAAAAATTAGGTCCTCGTCCTTCATGCCCTACTGAGGTCACCAGTTGCCCCCCACGAGCGGCTCTCCAGCACGGCCATGGCCCCAGAAGCACAAGGACTTAATGCAGAACCCAGCAGCTTGGAGCAGAAAAGTGAATGGACTATGTGTTAATCCAGGCCATCATGTCTGCCCGGAGGGGAAAGGGTGTTGCCCCATTCGCCCTCTCCTCTCTGAAAAGAAGATGGCGGCCACATGGGTGCCTTGTGGAGAGCAGGCGTGAGCCGGGGGTGTGGGGGTGACTAAAACCTCATGGGAAGGGGGGCGTTCTGGTCCATCCTTCACGCCCTACCGAGGTCACCAGTTGCCCCCCACGAGCGGCTCTCTAGCACGGCCACAGCCCCAGAAGCACAAGGACTTAATGCAGAACCCAACAGCTTGGAGCAGAAAAGTGAACAGACTATGCGTTAATCCAGGCCATCATGTCTGCCTGGAGAGGAAAGGGTGTTGCCCCATTCGCCCTCTCCTCTCTGGAAAGAAGATGGCGGCCACATGGGTGCCTTGTGGAGAGTAGGTGTGAGCCAGGGGTGTGGGGGCGACTAAAACCTCATGGGAAGGGGGGCGTTCCAGTTCGTCCTCCATGCCCTACCGAGGCCGCCAGTTGCTCCCCACGAGCGGCTCTCCAGCACGGCCACGACTCCAGAGCACAGAAACCAATCTCTTAATTATCTGACTCTCAGTAGAAATACTTCCAGGGTTAATTAGCAAAATAGCAGAAATCCAAAACCAACATTTAATTCTTGAACCCAGCTGTAGAAAGCGAATCACTTCACAATGCTTTCTCAGCATGTCTGATGTGGGGGGAGGGGGTAAACTCTAAATAATAGTGGTGCATCTTTTATTGAAACAATGAATCTAATCAAAGCAGATAAAGTGTCAACTAGAACTCATCTGCCTCGCAGGCATTGGGAGGGGTGGGGGGTGGGGTTTTATTGGGGTTCTTCACGGTAAAAAATAAGTATTGGTAAAGGGAAAGGTGTTTGATATTTGCATGACTGAGACCTAAACCTGAAAGCTTTGTAACTTTTCCCACAGTGATTCAATAAATAAATAAATTATTTAAAAAAAAATAGGTCCTCTCAATATCAGACATGAATCCGAAAGGTACATAGAGGCAAATGTAGGCAGAACCCTCCATGACATTGAAGCTAAAAGCATCTTTAAGGATGAAACACTACTGACCAAGCAAGTGGAAACAAACATAAACAAATGGGACTACATTAAAATAAGAAGCTTCTGCATCTCAAAAGAAACAGTGACCAAAATACAGAGAGAATCTATAGAATGGGAAAGGATATTTACCCAAAACCCATCTGGTAAGGGGTGAATATATAGGATATATAAGACACTAGTAGATTGTACATCAAAAAATCTCCAGCCCCGTCAAAATTGTCTGCCACTGAAGCAGGGGGAGGGTTGAACAAAAGCTTCCTCAAAAAAAGAAATAAAAATGGTCAAAAGGCACATAAAAAATGCTCTACATCGCTAATCATTAGGGAGATGCAAATAAAACAACAATGAGATATCATCTCACATCACAGAGATTGGCATACATCAAAAAGAACAAGAACAATCAGTGCTGGTGCTGATGGGGGGAGAAAGGCACTCTCTTTCATTGTTGGTGGGAATGCCAACTGGTCCAGCATTTTTGGAAAACAATATAGGCATTCCTTTAATAACTAGAAATTGAGCTTCCATATGACCCCGCAATATCACTTCTGAGAATATATCCCAAAGGTGCAAAAAAGCATAGTAGAGATGACATCTGCACCTGTGTGTTCATTGCAGCACTGTTCACAATAGCCAGAATCTGGAAACACCCCAAGTGCCAGAGAACAGATGACTGGTTAAAAAAACTTTGGTACATCTACACAATGGAATATTATGCAGTTGTTAGGAAAGATGAAGTCATGAAATTTGCTTATAAATGAATGTCATGTAGAGTAACATGCTAAGTGAAATAAGTCAAAAAGAGAGAGACAGACATAGAATGACTGCATTCATTTGTGGAATATAAAATAACATGAGACTGACACCCAAGGACAGTAGACACAGGGGCCAGGAATATTGCTCCATAGTTGGAAGCCTGCCTCTTGAGCTGGGGGAGAAGGCAGCTAGAATAGAGAAGGGATCACTAAGTCAATGATGGTTGGAGGAATCGTTCAGGATGGGAGATGTGTGCTGAAAGTAGATAAAGGACCAAATGTGATAGCCTCTCAGTATCTGTATTGCAAACCATAATGCCCAAAAGTAGAGAAAGAGTATGGGGGAAATTGTCTGCCACTGAAGCAGGGGGAGGGTTGAAAAGGGGGGATACTGGGGACATTGGTGTTGGAAAATGTGCACTGGTGGAGGGATGGTTATTCGATCATTGTATGACTGAAACTCAAACATGAAAGCTTTGCAACTGTTTCTATTGGTGATTCAATAAAAAAATAGGTCTAGACATGACAATTACTTTTAAATTTTCTCTTGATCCATATGTCTAAAACCATGCATTGATTTATCAATTTTAAATATTTATCACCTGACATCCTTATTAATGACAAATAAGAATTTACTTTTCTTGTGCAACCATTACCTTACTTCTCATCACGTAATTCTTCCAATAAAATTGAGGCCTATATCAATGTTTATATTATCATAAACATTAAAAATTATCATGTCTGTAGCACTGTCCTCCCGTTGTTCATCGATTTGCTCGAGCGGGCACCAGTAACATCTCACAACAAATTGTGAGACTTGTTGTTACTGTTTTTTGGCATATTGAATAGCACAGCCGTAGGGCGTTTGCCTTGCATGCAGCCAACATGGCCGACCCGAGTTCGATTCCTCTGCCCCTCTCAGAGAGCCCGGCAAGCTACCGAGAGTATCTCGCCCACACGGCAGAGCCTGGCAAGCTCCCCGTGACGTATTCGATATGCCAAACACAGTAACAACAAAGTCTCCAACGGAGACGTTACTGGGCCCACTCGAGCAAATCGATGATCAAGGGGAGGGCCTCGAGAATACGTCACGGGGAGCTTGCCAGGCTTTGTCGTGCGGGTGAGATACTCATGTCTATGTCACTTATATTCAATTCTAAACCATATTTTATACCATAAATT